TGTGATCCCTTCCAAATGTAATATAGACATCTTTGGCGGAGTCTACACCTGTGGAGTTATTTAAATCAATGGCTGGATGGCCATCTGTTGGGCAGACTTGAATTGTGTGTCCTTCTGCCTAGCAAAAAGGGCCAGACTAGATGACCATTGAGGTCCCTTCCAAATCCCATATAGACTTTCTAAGAGTCTGGTGGAGTCTCCTTCTCTAGAGTTCTGTGAAACAGAGGCCAGATGACCAGGCTTGGATTGTGTGTTTTCTGCCTGCCAGAAGATGTCCCTTCCAAATGCAATATAGACTTCTTTGGAGTTTGGTGGAGTCTCCATCTCTAGAGCTCTTCAAATCAAAGGCTGGATGGCCATCTGTTGGGTAGACTTTCATTGTGTGTCTTCCTGCCTAGCAGAAGGGGCCAGACTAGATGCCCTTTGGGGTCCCTTCCGAATTTCATACAGCATTCCTGGGAGTCTGGTGGAGTCTCCTTCTCTAGAGGTCTATGAAGGGCAGGTTACTCATCTGTAACCATGTTTCTTCGAGTGGTACACTGTGAATCCACACATATGGAGGATCTGTGCTTGCGCAGGCTCCAACGGAAAGTGTAAATCCAACGTTTTGGGGGTAACCCCCAGCCAGTCCCCTCTCCCGGGCATCAAAGGCGCCCTGGCCGCACGCTCTGCAAAGGCAGTGAGACAGGAGGAGGTTTTTTAGAGGGCAGGCCGGGCGGGTTTGTGTGGGTTCACAGAGTACCACTTGAAGAAACGTGGTTACAGCTGAGTAGCCTGTCCCTTTTCTTCGTGGACTCTGTGAATGCATACCTATGGAGACTAGCAAGCGGAGGTCCTGGAAGGTGGGACAAAGCAAACCGACACCTTTCTTAAGGACCAACACATGATTTATTGCGGGAACATATGTAGCCAAACAAGGTACATCTCAGTGAGGAAAACCTTATAGGGAGAGGCAAATTGCCAAAAAGGAAGAACAGGCATATATCCCTTGACAGAATACAAGGATATGATATAACCACTGTGTGGCAAAAAACAGGGAGCATTTCCATGCGGGAGGCGCACGAAAGGAAACAAGCACGGGTCTCTGCGGCCCAGTAAGGTCACAACACCTAAAGAAGAGGGAGTTGGGCAGAAGCTTAGGCTAGCGTAGTTGAAATGAATAATAGTCATAACGTGGAAACGGTTACATGAAAACACATTAGAATAACGGTGCATGAATTCCGCTACAGAACATGTTTGGACAAAAGAATCAATGGTAGGAAGTCCACAACAGTCAAGAGTTACCTGAGGATAGACAAGCGGAGAAGGCAGACAGATATATCAACAGTAACAGCTGAATATATGCACAATATACGCACAATAAACATTTGAACAACCAAGTACAAACTTTGTGAATGAGTCATTTTTGCAAGATAGAAGAAAAATCTGACTTGGTTGAGGAGGGAAGTCAAGAGAATGGACCTACCAATAGCAGTGTCTTTACGAGTTCGGGTATCGAGCCCATAATGAGAAACAAACATCATTGGGTTGTATGTTTTTTCGGGCTATACAGCCATGTTCTAGAGGCATTCTCTTCTGATGTGTCGCCTGCATCTATGGCAAGCATCCTCAGGGGGTGTGAGGATGCTTGCCATAGATGCAGGCGAAATGTCAGGAGAGAATGCCTCTAGAACATGGCCGTATAGCCCGAAAAAACCTACAACAACCCAGTGATTCCGGCCATGAAAGCCTTCAACAATACAAAGGTCATTGGGTTCGACCAGATGGCTGCCTTGCAGATAAGAGTCCAAAAAGACCCTTTTCAGGAAGTCCACTGAGGCGTGATATGTGAGAGGAAGCCACAGGGAGGAGGGAGCAAGCTTGTTTTCTGCTTCCCTGGAGACTAGGACACGGAACAATGGCTTCAAGCTACAAGAAAGGAGATTCCATCTGAACATGAGGAAGAACTTCCTGACTGTGAGAGCCGTTCAGCAGTGGAACTCTCTGCCCCGGAGTGTGGTGGAGGTTCCTTCTTTGGAAGCTTTTAAACAGAGGCTGAATGGCCATCTGTCAGGGGTGATTCGAATGCAATATTCCTGCCTCTTGGCAGAATGGGGTTGGACTGGATGGCCCATGAGGTCTCTTCCAATTCTATGATTCTGGATATTCCTCGTACAGTGTGAACGTTGAAATTGGAGGGAAGCAGAATGAGGACGCTCACTTTTCACCTTCACCACAATGCCCGTCATAGAATCCTAGAGTTGGAAGAGACCTTGTGGTCCATCCAGTCCAACCCCATTCTGCCACGAAGCAGGACAATCGCGTCCAAAGAACCCCTACAGATGGCCACCCAGCCTCTGTTTAAAAGCCTCCACCACACTTCGAGGCAGAGAATTCCACTGCTGAACAGCTCTCACACTTAGGAAGTTCTTCGTAATGTTCAAGTGGAATCTCCTTTCCTGTTGTTTGAAGGCATTACTCGATGCTAGTCTCCAGGGTAGCAGAAAACAAGGTTGCTCCCTCCTCCCTATGACTTCTCCTCACATATTTATACATGACTATCATGTCTCCTCTCAGCCTTCTCTTCTTCAGGTAAGCAGGCCCAGCTCTTTAAGACGCTCCTCATAGGGCTTGTTCTCCAGATCCTTTATCGTTTTAGTTGCCCTCCTCTTGTCAATGTCTCTCTTCAATTGTGGTGCCCAGAATTGGACACAGTATTCCAGGTGTGGTCTAACCAAGGCAGAATAGAGCATCTACCCAGCTTGTGACTCTATCGAAAGAAGAGATCAAGCTTAGTCTGGCATGACTCGTTTTTGATAAATCCGTGCTGACTATTAGCGATGACCGCAGTAGTTGATGAGCTACTGACGACTGGCCCTGCTCCTTCGCTTCCACTGGCTTCCCACTACACGGCAGTGACACCAACTTCTCCCACGAAAATGCCCCACGAGAGCTACATGCCTTGTAACCTTACTTTCCAGATAACCCATGTATTTAATAATTAAAGCATAAAAATAAAAATCGAACTTGGAGCCATGCGACCGACATACAGGCGGAAATCCATATGCCCTTTGTCATCCTTGTTTATCATGTGGATGTCAGAAATATTAAATACTAGAATGAAGGAAGACAGCTGTATTGAAAATACAAGGACAAGAATTCAAGTTAAAGCATATGCTGATGATATGGTATGCATTAGAGAAGAGCCACTGAAAAGTATTCAAAGCTTGATGGAAATGATGAATGAGTATGGGAATGGGGCAAGATTAAAAATGAATAAAGAGAATTCCATCTTCCTCACTAAAAAATCTGTCAAAAAGCAATATCAATAAATTAGAGAATTTATCAGCTGGTAAGTGTCAATGGAATGGCGACAATCTCAGCACACACAAGGCACTGAAACACATCTTCTTGTCTAAAAACGACTTTATTTAACACAAAACAAAAAATAATATTTACACTAGAAGCTAAGCAGAACAAGAAACATCTCCAACGGCTACATGGTTTGGCTTTCGTTGTAATCTAGAATCAGGCACCTCCTTACACTCCACAGTGACGAGAGGATGTATGACATACGACACAACACAGCGTACAACACTTTCCGCACTGAGATTTACGACTCTTCCTTCATGATACGGTTAACCCTTTCCACACAGGAATTACAATCTCCGGAACATTGCATTACAAAGCATCACATTTCTAAGCACACAAACACAAACTTTGAAAACTACAATACAGTTAATCAAAACACACACATATTCTTAACAGTAAGGTAGCCTTGCAAGTAACCTCTCTAGGATTATGGCTAACCAACAAAAATAACTTCTTTCAAAATAATTATGAAAAAACATGGAAGGAGATTAAAGACAATTTGGAAAGATGGCAAAGAATTCAATTAACTTGGGTGGAGAGAATAGCAGTGATAAAAATGATGATCTTACTCAAAATGCTGATTTTATTCCAAAATCTACCAATATTTAAAGGAGTGAGAATTTTCAAATTTTGGAGGAAGGATTTAACTAAATTTACATGGAATGGAAGAAAAGCTAGCATTGCTTACAAAAACCTAATAGATGTCAAAGAGAGGGGGGCTTACCGCTGCCAGACATTAGTTATTAATATGAAGTGTTAGGCTTCAACTGGCTAAAGGGGTGGGTTAGATTAGAAAATTGAGTTTTACTCTACCTAGATGGATATAAGCTAAGATTTGGCTGGAATAAGAGTAAGCCTATTAGCGGTTTTGAAAAGATATAAGACTTTTTATGTAGTAGTTAGTATAGAAGACAAATTTATCTATATGACATTATATTTATATTCAAAATCTTATAAGGAGTTGGTTTAACCTCTGGTTACTTGTTGTTGTTCATTCGTTCAGTCGTCTCCGACTCTTCGTGACCTCATGGACCAGCCCACGCCAGAGCTCCCTGTCGGCCGTTACCACCCCCAGCTCCCTCAAGGTCAGTCCAGTCACTTCAAGGATGCCATCCATCCATCTTGCCCTTGGTCGGCCCCTCTTCCTTTTGCCTTCCACTTTCCCCAGCATAATTGTCTTCTCTAGGCTTTCCTGTCTCCTCATGATGTGGCCAAAGGACTTCCACTTTGTCTCTAGTATCTTTCCCTCCAATGAGCAGTCGGGCTTTATTTCCTGGAGGATGGACTGGTTGGATCTTCTCGCAGTCCAAGGCACTCTCAGCACTTTCCTCCAACACCACAGCTCAAAAACATCTATCTTCCTTCGCTCAGCCTTCCCTAAGGTCCAGCTCTCACATCCGTAGGTTACTACAGGGAATACCATGGCTTTGACTAGCGGATCTTTGTTGTCAGTCTGATGTCTCTACTCTTCACTATTTTATCGAGACTGGACATTGCTCTCCTCCCAAGAAGTAAGCGTCTTCTGATTTCCTGGCTACAGTCTGCATCTGCAGTAATATTTGCCCCTAGAAATACAAAGTCTGTCACGGCCTCCACGGTTTCTCCTTCTATTTTCCAGTTGTTTTCCAGCCTGGTTACTGGTTTCTGGTTACTAGTTGAACTGAATTACCATGTTGCGAAAGAATGCATGTCTAAAAAGAGTGTCACCAACATGAAAAGTTTGCAAAGCTTTGTTTTAAGGAGTCTCTCTGGGATCAAACACTACAGTTCTTTTCGATGTGAATTCTATGTCTATGTAGATTTGAACTCTCAGAGAAGCTCTTCCCACACACTATGCATTTCTAGAGTTTCTCCCTAGTGTGGGTCCTTTGATGCAATCGTAGATTTCCACTTTTAGTGAAGCTGTGTCCACACTCCAAGCATTTATAGGGTTTCTCCCCAGTGTGAGTCCTTTGATGTGAGCGCAGGTGTGCATGCTGAGTGAAACTCTGTCCACACTCCAAGCATGTATAGGGTTTCTCCCCAGTGTGAGTCCTTTGATGCGAATGTAGACTTCCACTGTGAGTGAAGCTTTGTCCACACTTCAGACATTTATAGGGTTTCTCCCCAGTGTGAGTCCTTTGATGCGAATGTAGATTTCCACTGTGAGTGAAGCTTTGTCCACACTTCAGACATTTATAGGGTTTCTCCCCAGTGTGGGTCCTTTGATGTGAATGTAGACCTGATTTGTAAGTGAAGCTCTTTCCACACTCCAAGCATGTATAGGGTTTCTCCCCAGTGTGAATTCTTTGATGCGAACGTAGCATTGAACTTTGAGTGTAGCTCTTTCCACATTCCAGGCATGTATAAGGTTTCTCCCCAGTGTGAGTCCTTTCATGTGAACGTAGAGCTGAACTATGAGTGAAGACCTGTCCACACATTAAGCATTTATAGGGTTTCTCCCCAGTGTGAGTCCTTTGATGTGAACGTAGACCTGAATTACAAGTGAAGCTCTGTCCACACTCAAGGCACTTATAAGGTTTTTCCCCAGAGTGAGTCCTTTCATGCAAACGTAGATTTCCATTCTCACTGAAGCTCCGTCCACACTCCAAGCATTTATAGGGTTTCTCCCCAGTGTGAGTCCTTTGATGCTTCTGTAGTTGTGACTTCTGAGTGAAGCTCTGCCCACATGCCAAGCATTTATAGGGTTTCTCCCCAGTGTGAGTCCTCTGATGACACTTTAGATTTCCATTCTGCTTGAAGCTCTGTCCACATTCCAAGCATTTATAGGGTTTCTCTCCAGTGTGAGTCCTTTGATGCAACCGTAGACTTCCACTGTGAGTGAAGCTCTGTCCGCACTCCAGGCATATATAGGGCTTCTCCCCAGTGTGAGTCCTTCGATGGACATCCAGAGTTCCCTTCTTAGTGAAACTCTGTCCGCAGTCCAAGCATTTATAGGGTTTCTCCCCAGTGTGTAACCTTTGATGTGAACGTAGGTGTGCATGCTGAGTGAAGCTCTGTCCGCAGTCCAAGCATTTATAGGGTTTCTCCCCAGTGTGTGTCCTTTGATGCGAATGTAGATGTGAATTCTGAGTGAAGCTCTGTCCACACTCCAGGCATTTATAGGGTTTCTCCCCAGTGTGAGTCTTTTGATGCACACGTAGACCTGAATTAAAAGTGAAGCTCTGTCCACACTCCAAGCATGTATAGGGTTTCTCCCCAGTGTGAATTCTTTGATGCGAACGTAGCGTTGAACTATGAGGGTAGCTCTGTCCACACTCCAGGCACTTATAGGGCTTTTCCCCAGTGTGAGTCCGTTCATGTTGCTGCAGATAAGCCTTCTGAGTAAAACTCTTTCCGCACTCCAGGCATTTAAATGCTTTCTCCTCCATGTGAACAGTGATATGGTTGCAATACAGATACTTGGCACTACTTTTTCTCTTTCTTATCTGTGAGTGAAGTCAAGAATTCAGCAAGAGCATCACCTTGGATTATTCCTTCTTCCTATTTTATTGGTTTCCTTACTGCACCCAAGAGGTGGCTCCATAGAATCCTCATTTCCCTGGGGAAGAAAGAAGCAAAAGATCAGTGAAGACAGGCGGAAACCTTCTTTACCTGCAAGATTTTCCTCCTTTCCCTTCAAGAGTCAGGTTGAAAAAGGGAATACCAAGAAATGCAGAGTCTCAAGCGCATACACTGATGCCAGTCAAGGCAATCACGGATGCTTAAACTATAAGGGAATGAATTCAGAAAATAAAAAAGAAAAGGGACGGAGAACGAAAAGAATGAATGATAGAAAGAAAAGAGGACTCCTTCTAATTTTTATCTCCCTATGGAGAGATAAAGTAGGGCATAAAGAAATATAACAACAACAACACTTTCTTTATAACCCGCCCTCTCTCTCTGAGGGGACTCAGGGCGGTTTCCAAGGAATAACAAAAATGGCAAACATTCAGTGCAGAGAACAGACACATAGCAATCAAGATATAAACAAGGAATAAAAAGATCTCAACATGGCATATATACTCGAGTATAAGCTGACCTGAATATTATCCGAGGCACCTAATTTTAGTACAAAAACTGGGAAAACTTATTGACTCGAGTATAAGCCGAGGGTGGGAAATGCAGCAGCTACTGCTATTACAGTTCCTCATGTTGTGGTGACCCCCAACTATACTATTATTTTCATTGTTACTTCATAACTGTAATTTTGCTACTGTTACGATATTGTTATGTAAACATCTGATATGCAGGATGTATTTTCATCGTTACACATTGAACTTAATTAAAATATAGTGATTAATCACAAAGACAATGTGTAATTATTATAATGGGGAAGAAGCCATGAAGGGAGGAAAGAAGGCAGGAGTTGAACAAGGAGGAGCCACAGAAAAAAAGAGAGAAGCTATGAAGGGATGAAAGAAGGGAGGGAGGGAAAGAATGGGAGGAAGGAAGGAAGGAAAGGGAGGAAAAAGGGAAGGAAGGGAGGAAAAGAAGGAAAGGAAAGGAAAAGGAAGAAAGGGGGAACAGGAAGGAGGAAAGAGATTGAAGGAGGGAGGGAGGGAAAGGAAGGGGAAGAAAAGAAAGGGAGGAAGGAATGATAGGAAGGAAAGGGATAATGATGAAAGGAAGGAAGGAAAGGGAGGAGGGAAAGAGGGAAAGAACGAAAGGATAGGAAGAAGGAAAGGAGGAGAAAGAAGGAAAGGAAAGGAAAAGGAAGAAAGGGGGAACAGGAAGGAGGAAAGAGATTGAAGGAGGGAGGGAGGGAAAGGAAGGGGAAGAAAAGAAAGGGAGGAAGGAATGATAGGAAGGAAAGGGATAATGATGAAAGGAAGGAAGGAAAGGGAGGAGGGAAAGAGGGAAAGAACGAAAGGATAGGAAGAAGGAAAGGAGGAGGGACAAAGAAGGAAAATGGAAGGAAGGGAAGAGAGGGAAAGAAGGGAAGGAAGGAGGGAGGGAAGGAAAGGAAGGGGAAGGAAGGGGAAGGAAAGAAAGGGAGGAAAGGGAGAAATGTGAAAGGAAGGAAGGGAGGGAAGGAAGGAAAGGAAGCAGGAAGGATGGAGAGAAAGGGAAGGAGGGACGGAAGGAAAGGAAGGGAAGGAAAGAAAGGGAGGAAAGGGAGAAATGTGAAAGGAAGGAAGAGAGGGAGGAGGGAGGGAAAGAAGGAAAGGTATAAGGAAAGAGGGAGGGATAGGAAGGAAGGAAAAATGAAGAGAGGGAGGGAAGGATGGAAAAAAGGAAAGGAAGGGAAGAGGGAAGGAAGGAGGGAAAGGAAGGAGGGAAGGGAGTGAAGGAGAGGGAGGGAAGGAAAGGAAGGGAAAGGAAAGAAAGAGAGGCAGGAAGGAAGGAAAGAGAGGATGAAGGAAAGGAGTGAAGATAAGGAAGCCGTGAAAGGAGGGAAGGAGGGAAAGGAGGAAAGGAAGGAGGGAAGGAAGGTCCTTTACTCAGACGCACCATCCTCTTGCATGGTGTAACGGATTTCCTTACCGTAGAAGACCAGGGGTAGAATAGACCCAGTGGTTCGGCATCCATTCCAATGGAAGCCATTTTAGGCGAAGGCATTTCCCAGAAGGGGTGGAGCTTGTAGGCAGCCTGGGGGGAAATGTGGAAAACCATTTTGATTGACTGGGAGTAAGTGGGCGGAGCTTGGTCGAGTGGAGAAAAAAAAGGAACCTTTTGAATTCTGACAGTTAGAAAAAGGCAGTTGGGGAAAAGGAGTCGGAGGAAGGGAGGAAAAGTTAGTGGTTGGGAATTGTGAAGCCAGGAGTGAGTTTAGAGAAGTTCAGTGAGCAGTTAAGGAAGAATAGTTTTATAGTGGTTTAAAACAGATCCCGGGGATAGGGCAGTTTGAGAATTAGGGTCTGGTTAGTGGAAGATGACTAGATTCCTGTGAATTTTGAAAGTTAAACCGTAACCTGAAGTTTTGAAGCACTGAACTGTCCTACGTAGCCATTAAGCTCCTTACACAACTGTAACCATCACGATTCGTGGCCTGTTCTGAATGTTCAAATAAACATCATTCTTTATTGTTAATGCCTCTGTGTGCCTCTCTGGTCAAGAATCCCCATACCCTAGACTGGGGAAGAGTATTTTGAATTTGGTGGCAGACCTTGGTATTTAGACCCTCAGTATTCAGTGCCCTGAGTTTGAATTCAGACTACTCCAGTTTAGGTTCTTGTAGGTTTTTTCGGGCTATAGGGCCATGTTCTAGAGGCATTTCTCCTGACGTTTCGCCTGCATCTATGGCAAGCATCATCAGAGGTAGTGAGGTCTGTTGGAAATACGAAAATGGGTTTATATATCTGTGGAATGACTGGGGTGGGGCAAAGAGCTCTCTGCTGAAGCTAGGTGTGAATGTTTCAACTGACCACCTGATTCCAGCCATGAAAGCCTTCGACAATACATTACTCCAGTTTACTTCAGCGTTCTCCAGTTAAACCTCAAGTGACCCTTTTTAATTTTGGTGGTGGCCCAGTCGAACATCAATTCTTTGGGTGAATATCGTTTTGTTTTGCCCTGCTCAGTGTTCAGAGTCTGAGCTCTTCACATATAATTGGTTGTGGGGAGTGGGAAGGAGGGGGCTCGGGTGTGTAGAATGGGATGGAGGGGGGTTTGGGTATGGGGAGTGGGAAGGGATGGGCTTGGCTGTGGGGAGTGGGAGGGGTGGCGGCTTGGGTGTGAGGAGAGGGAAAGGAAGAGATGGGTGTGGGAGTGGGAAGGAATACTGATTTCAAGGAACATTCCAAAATTCAGGTTACAGTCGTAATATTCGTAATGCAGAAAACCACACAGGTCAGTATGGAAAATAAAACCAGAGAACCACAGAACTTAGATCAAGAACTATATCCAAAACGTGACTAGAGGGGACGTGGTTTTAAAAAGGGAATTTTCAGAGATGTTCCCAATGCCCATATATCATGACTTACTGCCATATTGGCCTATTTCTGCAGTAGGCCTATGTTTACAGAAAATGCTGATTGTTTGAGAAATCAGAGCTCCAAAGAAGAAGTTACTATTCAAGGATAACAGTACATCCAAACAAAACCAGCTAGCTGTTGGCCAGTTAGAACCCCCAATTTCCCAGTCGCTCTGGAGCCATGTTTGCAACAGACTAACGGATAAGATACAGTCATGGTCAGAAAACAATGGACTATAGTTATGTTAAAGTTGTGTCATTGTTAGGATCCCACGTGTGCTATAATGTCAATCAAAATCATAAACAACAAATGAACAACTGTATAGTTAGCTTAGACCAGTGGTTCTCAACCTGGGGTCCCCAGATGTTTCTGGCCTTCAACTCCCAGAAACCCTAACAGCTGCTAAAGTGGCTGGGATTTCTGGGAGTTGTAGTCCAAAAACATCTGGGGACCCCAGGTTGAGAACCACTGGCTTAGACCAATGAAATGATTTGTCTTTGGGAACCAAGGAAAAATGTATATTCCATTTACTAGAAAAGCTCTGCAGCCCCATTGGGGCTGGTGACAAACCCTTTGATTGCATCCTTGTATGCTTGTTTGTCGTTATTGCTACGGCCACGCAATAAATAGCTTTTTGCAGTTTAAAAGATTCAACTTTTGTGATGTCCATCCTTGCCCTCCCCATTGGGAAGGGGGCTTCTGCCTTTTTGGGAAATATTTTGGTTTCTTTGCCCCTACATGACCCTCTAATTCCAAACCCGGAAACATGACATAAAAGCAAGACCTGAATTCTTCTATCCTCATGAAAACAGGATAACGTCCTCATAAATAAGCAAAGTTGCTATCACAAAGAATAACTGACTTAAGAAACCTACTCTTAGACCCCCACCCCCACCCCCCGCACCAAGTGCTGTTCTGGGCCAGAGTGAAAGGGGGGGGGAGGGGACAGTCCCACCTTGTCTCCTGTGTTATTCTAATATAATAACATAATGTATTATAATACAATATATTGCATATACATATAATATTTATAATATTGTAATGTAATGCAATATAATACTACTACCAATATATTATTATATATTTATATTATATGTAATTATTACTAATAGTATTACAAAATAATGGTATAGTACAATATAGTAATATGTAATACTGATATTGTACTATGCTAGTAATATAATACATTGTATGTATAGAGAAGGGTGGCATGAAATTTCGTAAATAAATAAATACTCCTTTCTGAGGGGACACTAAGGATCTACCACCTGACATTTCTTTGTTATCTGTGACACACTTAATAGCCTCTGCCTAGCATTATCTTAGGGGTCCCCAATGGCGCAGTGGGTTAAACCACTGAGCTGCTAAACTTGTTGACCAAAAGGTTGCAGGTTTGAATTTGGGGAGCGGTGTGAGCTTCCGCTGTCAGCCCCGGCTTCTGTCAACCTAACAGTCTGAAAACATGCAAATGTGAGTAGATCAATAGGTACCGCTCCATTGGGAAGGGAACGACGTTCCATGCAGTCATGCTGGCCACATGACCTTACAGGGAGCAGTCAACCCTCCTGTTCCAGGAGCTCCACTGGCTGCCATTCATTTTCCGGACCCAATTCAAGGTGCAGGTTCTTACCTACAAAGCCCTAAACGGTTTGGGACCCGCTTACCTGCATGACCGCATCTCTGTATATGAACCCACACGATCTCTTCGATCATCTGGAGAGGCCCTGCTCTCGATCCCACCAGCATCGCAGGGCCTTTTCGGTGGTGGCCCCTCGACTCTGGAACTCACTCCCTAGGG